GTTTTGCCAAATCCCTTGCGCCGATTGTGAGCACAATATGGTTGCGTATTCTAGGCTCACCACTCTTTCTACTTTCCTTAAACTCCTGCGAGAGAGGTTTGCTGACGTCACAGGGCGCGTCAGGGCCTCTGACGATCTTCAGACCATCCACTCATGACAGTGGAGGAGTGCGCGCGCACTCAAAGCTGTCATGGACGACTTGGTAGCCGTCCCAGACCACGGGGTCACTGAGACCAAGTTGGTCCAGTTATTTTATCGTGCCATGCCAAAGCCCCTGCGAGGGCATTTCTTTGATAAGACCCAACAGGCCAACATCACGTATGATGCGTTAAGTAGGGAAGTGCTCCTGTTTAAGGCAAAGTCCATGACAATTTCCACTTTCTAGCATGGGAACCAGGACGAGATAGCAGATATTTGGCGCCAGGTTCAGGGTGAAGAGGTCCCCCCCTCCCAACCTCCGGCTTAGTCAATCCCCTGGACCCCAGGGTAATCAATGCTGGCAGGATGATGCGATTTGATGTGATTTAAACTCTGTTTATGTAAGGGACGCTGGACCCGGTTTCCAGCAGGTGCTGCTCCCCACCAATAGATGGAGACCTCCCCAGGTGCTAGCGGTGTCTGCTCTTACCAGCACCGCTAGCACCGACGGGTGCGTTGTTAAAAAAAAATAATGAAAAAAAGAAACAGCTCCCAACTACGAGAGAGATAGGAAAGGTAAAGGTCCAGCCTTGGATTGAGTTATTCTCGGAGGACCTCGAATTTAGGCCGGCGGGAGTGAAACGGTATTCACCTGTTCGCACTAGCGGATGCAGATCCCAGGGCTCGATCCCTAGTCCTCACCCTACCTGTGTACAGTATCTGTGTCGAACCCGTAGTTGAACCCGTGACCTGTGTATTTGTAACAGTTGGTAGACTGTCGTAGGGTCCGTAGGTGGTAGGGGTTCGATCTATAGACCTGTTGTTTGGAGGTCTTCGTAGGTCCTAGGAGTCGTAGCTGTAGCTCCTCCGAAGGGTCAAAGTCGTATCTGCTAACGTCCTGAAAGGTCAAGGTCGTAGCTGCTACAGTACCGAAAGGCCAAGTCTACGGACTTCCGGAAGGTCCAGAAGTGGCCTTTCGGAGCCTGCTCACGTTTAGGTAGAGGCAAGTGGGCAAATGGTGAAGTCCACCCTTGCTGAGTCAGCGGAACCAGTCCCAGTCAGTCCTAGTCCAGTCGAGCAAGTACCGTATGGGATTGTGTGCACCACGGGCATGGGAAAGGGGCAGACCAACGAGATACAGAAGTATAAATCAAGAGGCAGCGCCCAGCCATTCATTCATTCCTGCGTAAACCATGCGGAAGCGCTGCCACAGCGACTTGTGCGAGGTGGTCTGCAGTGAGCCCGAAGACGAAATGGGCGGGAAGGAGAGCTTAGCCATAGCGATAGGAGTAGTAGCGGCCATAGCCGCCATAGCTGATAGGAGAGTGTAGTGTGTACGTGTGTGCGTGTGTGTACAGTGCGATGCGTGTGGGATATCCAGGGTGATCCAGTGTGTGTGAACAGCAGAGTTGGGTTGGCGACGAACAGAGCGTTGTACAGGCGCTGTTGCGCCATAGCTGTTTGAAGTGAGCTTGTATCTGATCTGTGTTCTTGGCTACCATATCTCTGAGTTCTGAGTGGGCGCTTGTCGCCAGTTTGTTGCGCAACCTGATTACATGCATGTGAAGAGTGAAAGTTCGTGGGTCTGATTGCACAGGTCTGGAGGCGCTGCAGTGCACGCCAAGCTTTTCCGAACTGCCAGTGGCGTACTTTTTGTTTTATTTGGCTGGTGCCGCCAGCTATTGTGGTCCGATACAAGGCTGGGGTCGTGTACTGGTCGTTAACTACACCTTGGGAATGGAGATGAGTACGAGTGGGCTTTCAAACAATTGAAGACTGACCTCACCGACTACCCTGTTCGGAAAATTACAGAGCCCGAGAAGTTATTTATCATGACCACTGATTTAAGCCACTATGGTATAGGCACAGTGCCACAGCAAGCGGAGGCTAGTAAGACATGACCCATTGAGTACATATCTAAAAGGATGCCATTTGAGAAGCTAGCATCTTCAACCTATTAGAGGGAGTTTTTCACTCTAGACGGGTTTGAGACACTGGAAGCACTACCACCATGCAGACATTTCAACTACGGCAAAAACGGAATTAGTCATAACTGCATTTATTAATAAAGTGGCTCCAAGATTTTTGCATTTCCCAGATTCTGCCCCCGGGAATATGGAGTTCGCTCTCAAGTATGAACTGACTGCGGGAAACTGTAGATCAGCTTCCAAAATTTCGGCAAACCATGATAGAGACAGAAAGAAGGAAGCCTGACTTGGCATGGGTAAAATCATCTGAGCTCAAATCTGTGGAGGACATATCGCATAAACTGACACTTCAGTACTGCACACCTTCGACTAACTTGGACATTGTAGGAGATGATCCTGATGGTTTCGCTTATTACCCAGTCTTCCATGCATCCAAACTCTCAACTTATTCGAAGGGTGATCACTTTATTTCTTGTTGATCCATGCCACCTCCAACAATGTATGGTCAAGTTGACATCGACTGTATTGTGGAGCACAGGTGCCCTCCGGTACCTAAGCCACCAGGCAGAGAAAGACCACCAAAGCCTCAACTGAAGTTTCTGGTTCACTTCAGACATAACGTGGATAGAAGAGAAGACAGGTGGTTTGCAAAAGGATACTTAATTAAGGCTGCACCCCAAGTGGTTCCGTACTATGAGAGGTCTCTCAGGGGAAAGCAATAGCGAGAATGAGGGTGTGTCAAAGGATTTTCGAACCCAAGGGGGTGGGACCGTGAGGCGCTGAAGGAGCTGTGGGCCTAAGTGAAGGTTGCGGCCAGGTCCAAGTCCGCAGGGGGCCCAAGAAGGCCGCATAGGTAACTAACAGGTGGCCCTGTGCTGGGCAAACCAACCAGGCAGGTACATCGGCTGGGACCCAGACAGGTAGGCAGTGCCTACCTGCCCCGATCCAACCCTCCAAGAAAGACAAAAGCAGGGAGTCCAAGAGTAGAAAGTTAGAAACACAGTAGGCAGTGGGCAGTACATACCAGCAGGGGTGGAGCAGCACTAGCAGCCGCCAGAGCCTAGGAGGAGGAAGCAGCCCAGTGGTGGCTGTTGGCATGATCGCTCGCTGTAGCCAAGCAGGGCAGTGCAGTGTAGGGAGTTTGCAAGGAGAAGGTAGGCTAGAGTACAGAAGTACTATAGGCGGTCACATCATAGCTTAGGGCTACTACTCTGTGGGTGTATTGGTTTCTGGAGGCGAGAGTAGGGCTTTCATTACCAAGAGACTAGTGCTATCTATGTCCTTGCATTGGGTTGCTCTCGACCTTGTTCCCTCGTCGACATATTCTTTAGGCATTGGTCACGACTCTGACCAGACGAAGTTAACCAGTTCTCTGATGACCAACCTTCAACATCCTGATCTCCACTCTCTGTTTTCCGATTCGAATGAAGAAAGTCACATTGTGGTAGCGCCTTGGGAATGGAATAGCAACGGCAAAACCCTCCAGAAGTGACCAACCTCGCTGAGCCCTTTCGGTAGGGGAAACGCTGGTGAACCTGGTTAGGATAGGAAAGCCGACACAAAAGTTTTCCGGTATACGTTCGGTCAACTCGTGCATGGTCGTCAATGAGTTCTTGCTACTTGAATTCTTTGGTGTTCTCACAGGTTCATTCCTTGCATCGCATACTTTTTGCAACCAAGGAACCATGATAGGTGGGAAGACCACTAAGCATTAAAGATAAGACTCGCAAGAGTCGAACAGCTGTAGACAGGCGAAAGGATCAAGAAAGGAGCCCGTATGGAAACTCACAGCGCTAACTTTTGTTTTTCGTTCTTTTTTTTTTTGAAGGGGCAACGGCCTTAAGATATGTCCATTGATCACCAGCCCAGATTTTCATTCACTGATTCAGATTATTCAGCCAGCACCACCGCCAGACTCACCACCCCAAGGAGCCTGCTACTGTCTTCAGCCGGAAAGAAAGGCCATTCATTATTGCTGTATACTGTAATGACCATGCGTTCTATTCGGGCGAAGACAGTAGACATGGATCTAGGCTTCAGACTTGGAGCTAGTACCTCTGGCCTCGATGGGCCAGCCCCTCTGTCATTGCAGCACTGGTACCAATCCAGACATTAGGTGGGTAACTACCAACTGGCCTACTCTCAAGCATCAAACTGAGCAAGGGTGACTCATTATGTCCCAACTGGCCTCACTTACTCCAGCCTTCCGCCTGTACGAACCAGCTGCACAGGTATGCCAGCGATCATCGACCTGCACATCTCCTGGATGCAACTGAGGCATGCAACCATATGAGCTAGTCAGCGGGACCACAGAGCTGACATTAAGAGACAACAGAACCCAGTAGCGCGCCTCCACAGGGCCCTAACAACCTCATTGGATGACTGCCAATCAACCTTCCTGACTACATATGGGCATGAAGTCCTCCAGACAGTAGGGAAGACAAACTCTCATTTTGTGGTAACACGAGCATGGCTGTTAAGGTCACAACCATCAAACAATGCACTTTGTCAGAGCCAGTTAACATGAGGAACCACTGGCAGGCCATGTACGGTTGGTATTTGGTGGGATCCTCTGGAAAATTTGGGGGGAGGAGTCATTTCCAATAACATCTCTGATGTTGTCATGATCGCATCAGGCCAAGGACAGATGGAGCAACAGCCACAACACCTATCTACAAACATCCCTCCACTCTCCCAGCATTTCAACAGCCACATCTTGACCTGTTGTCCACTCTCCCAGCATTTCATAGACATTAATTCCTCGTCATCAGGGTTCAGGTGTCAGTGCATCTTAAAGTGTAAGAGAGCAGCTCCAGAGCTTGGCAAGAGAGAACAAGGAGCAAGAATTAGTGTTCTCATGAATCAAACATTCACTAGCAAAAAACACTTTTCAAAAGGAAGATTCGCTGTTTCCAGAAAGAATGCTCCACGAACCTGAGCTGATAAGAAGAGCCTCCTGTCTTGAATCACGTGATCATGATTGCTGAATAGTCTTCAAAAAAATCATCCACTTGCTACACCTTGGTCTCTGAGAGTGCCAACGCTTGGCTCATGGCCATCACAGCCAGTTATGGTGATATGCGACCCACATCAAGGCCCTCAAAGATCCCAACAAATTGCCCCTGCACCAGAGAATTCCTTCTTCAAGTCAGATCCGTCACAAGCATGGCCCATACGCTTCACCTGCTGCCCCTATTGAGGTCACCAGACTCGCCACTCAAAATACCTCAGAATGTCCGCAATCCTCCGGGTCAGATCCTTTATGTGCATGGCGCGTGCTTTCACACCGTCCCTCCAGATCCCCGTTGTCAACCGCTGCACACGGGAACAGTGAGGTAAGGGACAGGAATCTGCTCAGAAGACGGTTGCTTTGCACATGCCAGAAAGTGGTGATGCATATGATCTTTTCGTGTACCTGTTGTCATCGCTTCCGCCTTGATCTCCATGATTTGCTGACTGTTCACAGGGGACTGCAGAACATATTGTCTGACAACCTGGGTCATACTCAGCTGGAATGCCCTTAAGCAACCCAAAAAGTGTGGCATATGTTCTTGCACTGCTGCAGAATGCATCACAGCACAAGTAGGCAGACAAGATTTGCAGAGCACAGCAGGGCCATCACTCCTGAAGGTGATCATCACCAGCATGCATGGCTCTCCTAGGATGGCAATGACTCATCATGAATCGTTTCAGTGGCTAGAATAGACCCCACATCCTCCTTGCCAACACTCGCTCTTACTGCCCTTTCGTTTCTGCAGTGACTGGAAAATTGGTATCCATGCCGTTTAGGTTTCTGGCTAGAAACTAGATCACACACATCCACCTTATTGTCTGGGGCATGTTCAGGTGCTATTATTGCTGGCTCAATCCCTTCTCGACTCTTTTCCTCATCAGAACCTCCAGCATCATCAGTATTCACGTGTCCAGAGAACCCATCCACGTTCCCAGTTCCTCCTACAATTGTCCTCTCTTCATCCTCATCCCGCCTACGACCGCAAACACTTGACCCTCCATGGCTAATCTCCGCTTCCCCTCGAATGTCTCCGCCTCTGCTGACATTTCGAAAGCGTGTGAAAATTTCCAAAGGCAGGCTTGCTGTAGTGGAGCCACTTGCAGTTTTCGTGTTGATGAGAAGATTACCTCCTCCACCTCTCTGCATGTTCCCCATGTTGCCCTCCCTGGCTGCCTCCCTACTCGCAATTTTATCCCATGGCTCAAAAAAGGGAACATTCAGTTTCCCCATCCCATCCCCCAGCGAGCTCATCAAGCGGGCATGGTCAGAAACTTCCTGTTCGGCACCAGTGTTAGCAGTTTCAACTTGCTGTTGTACGTCAAGCCTTCTGGATTGCCGGACTATTTCTGAAGCAGAACTGGGCACAGTCAAGCCAATCATGCTCCTCCTCCTTTCTAGATTATTAAGTAATGATTCCCTGGCTGGATTTCCTGCTAACATCTGCATCCTTACATGCCGCCTCCTCACAAAGGTTACCCCATTTCTGATAACCACTTCCTGCTCAATGTGAACCTCGCCATCAGTTTGCCCTTGCCCTGTCCCAGGGCTGGAAGAGTGGTCCGAACTCACCAGTTTGCAGCTAGTGCCAGGGAAACTCAGCATACCACCAGCTGCCCATTGAGGCTGACCGTCCTTCCTGAGACCAGGCAACGTTCCAAAACGTGGTGGTGGCATGCGCTGTTGTTCATCCGACTGCTCCCTTCTTCCCAGAATCCCCATAAGCCCCCAGTTCAGACCTGAGGGGACTCTTGCTTTCCCCAAATCTTCCTGTGCTGCTTGCTCTCCCACGTGCTGACCCAATTCTTGAAGGAAGTTTGCACTTAAAGTTTCTTGTGCACCCCCGGCTGAAGTCCTCCCAAACGGTGTGCCAATCAATGGCACATGTTTACCACCTGAAGGCAACACTACAGGTTCTACAGCTGTGGTCAATGTTCTACCTATCGCCGCCCCTGAAACATTGTCAACTCTTACGCCACAGCCAACTGCAGCATCAGCAGACAACATTTCCATGGACATAGCACCTCCTGGTGCATCTGCCCTTCCACAAAGTCCACTATTTTTCCCCAGAAGCATCCTGTTCATGACCATTGGAGTGAGGTTGTCATTACAATTGGTCCCCTCTCTTGCATCTGCCTCAAGGCGTCCAAAACCAGTTGCACACCCTCCTGCCACGGCTCCCGACGCAGCCAGAAGCTCATGACAAGTCCCCTGATCAAGCCCATGGGCACGGATGGCGATACTGTCATCGCTCCCGTTCTTTCCCCTTGAGCTTTTGCCATCACTGCTTCCACCCTTCTTGCCAGAACCACGCTGGCCCAATCGTTTATCACTAAGTTTTTGCCTGTGAGGAATCCCATCCACGGCCCCACCTGAACAGGCTAACAATTCGCCTTGCCCAATGAAGGTAGACCTCTCGTGGTGCCTCCTTGAATCAACAAGGCCACCAGAGAAAGGGATGTTTTGCTCCGTTGGTGTTACTGATCTTTCCATCCCAGTTCTGGCATCATGAGCTGCTCTGTCTCCAGGACTTGCTGTTGGACCTTCTGCTGCCATATTTCTATCAGGCTTCACACATTGCGAGATACTGCACTCCTGCCACACACCATCTTCACGGTCCCTAGCTGTCCAGGGATCTCCATGACCCCGTTCATCACATCCTGTCCCTCCTGCTCGCAGCCTATGACGTCCATAGGTACTCCCTGACCCTCCCTGTCCTGCACACTTACAGGTGGGTAGCAGTGCTGCACTGCCCTTGCCTACCTTGGGCTTTCGGCATTTCTTGCAAATATCAGGAGGGGTGCGAGAGGGTGATCTGTCTTTTCTCCCCATCTGGAAATTGCCCAACTGCAGTTTTCCCATCCCGAATTGATTGTCAAACCGTCTGGGGGACTCCGCCGAACTGTCATCACTTCCTTTTCCTCCCCCCCCCTCTTTCCCCTCCACTTGGGGCGGAGCTGCCTGGTCAGATCCCTGATGACGACCCCAAGTGCAAGGAGAAGCCTCCCACTTGGCATGGGGCTGAAAAATACAGATAGCTGGCATCCCACGTGGACCATCTTGTGCGGATGATAGACCCTCTGCAGTCATTGCATCTCCAACACCTTCCAGCTTATCTGCAGCTCCAAAATGTGGGGGCTTCCCAACACTCTGACCTGCTCCCATATACGGATGAACAAGACCTCTGCTACCTGAGAACCTCAACTGAGCAGTTCCATATTCTCCAGGCAAGGCATCAAGCTGGGCAGCCGGTTTTCCTGCAACAAACTTGCAATCAACCCCCTTTTGGTGAGATGGTGGTGAAGATCCACCAGGATCATGCAGACATGAACTTGGCACAGCTGAAGCACCTGGCACTGCCAATCCACCTGCCAAAATGCACCCTGTCCCTGCATCGTCTCCCCCTCCTCGTGATTTCATGGCCGCAGGGAACGAACGGTAGCTTTGACTTCCCTCTCTATGCCACCCTGGGGCGCCTGACCATTCTGCATTGTCCGAGTTCTCAGTATACATTAGTTTCATGAACGGAGCAAAACTACGGACTGTTTTAACACCCCCTTTGTTAACTTCTGCTTTTTCTCCCGAACTTGCAACTATTCTTTCATTCAGGCCTCTGATTGGAGGCATCTCTCGGACTATAGACCTCCTAGCAAAGCCTACCCCTCCATCAGCTGTCTCCACCATTTTCCGTCCTCCTATTTCCACAGCAGCACCACCCCTACCATCCCGGCCAGTCATCCACAAAACAACTTGCGAGGGAACATTCCCAGCAGATTCTCGGCTTCCAGCCTTTCCCAGTGAGTCGGTCGCATTCTCATTTTGAAGAGCAGTAGCAGCATCACCCCCAGTTTCTATGGGAGTTCCGGCTGTGTTTTCAACAACGGGTGAGTGCTCAAATCCAGCAGCCTTCCTAATTAAGCCAGATGGAACCATTCTTTCCACGCTCCCTATTGTGGCATTGATATTCACCTTGCCATCTCGGCCATTGCGTTCAGCGACAGGTATCTGCTCCTCGCATCTGTGGGTTGGCCTTTCAAAACGCAGGGAAGGAGGTTGAAATCTGGATGGGCCAGCCACCATCTCCGCCATATCACCACTTCCATCATGTCCACTCATTTCAGCTCGCACTTCCACATCCATCTTTACTGAGCACTGCCATCTTCCCTTCCCTGTCTTCTGGCTTCCTTCACACAGCCTGGAAGCTCCGCTCTGCTTTACTTCCTCTTCGGTGTGTTCCTCAAGCTCCTCTTCCACCCTTTCCTTGGCACCCTGTGGAGAGTCCACATCCCTCATGATTTGCTCCTGGCTGTATGGAACACCAGCCCGCAATATGTGAGTAGCCTCACTCTCTGGAGTAGCATCGTCCTTGGGCGGCTCGCTTGCCCTTGCATACGGTCCTTGAGATGATGGGTCTTCCAGTGTTTGTAGTTCCGATTGAAGACCGCTCAACTGCCTCACATTTGCCTCCTTGGGAGATCCCCTCCCGGCAGCCAAGAACTGCCTATGTCTCCCACCACTGTTACGACCACCACTCCCACCAGAATCGTTGCAAGTGCTTGCATGGATAACATGTGAGGGCTCTCCTTGCTGAAACATCTGCGGGCAAGTTCTATTAACATCACCAGTTAGCCTTAGCTGTGAATGCAGTAATCCTGTCTGGGAGTGTTGCTTAGGAGTTGGTATAACCTCAGATTTTGCAAGTCTTCCAGGGCCTCCAAACTTCGTTCCAAGTTGTCCACTTCTGTGTTGTGCAGAACCCAGCCCACTGCTGCCACTACCACTCTTGAGCTTTTCCAGCCAAGGACTGAACAATAGCGTTCCTACTTCCGTCCCTTTCCGGCCACCGAGAGCCTGGGAGCCAAGCCTTCGCCTTGGAATTTGTTCTGGTCCCTCCACATCTGCCTCAACCTGACTGCCACTCGGAGCTCCAACACCTTGCCTGCTTGTGCAGCAAATGGAGCCTGCACTTTCGGTGTCTGTACCCATTGCCACTGAACTGGGCTGGTGACCTGAGTGTGCCTTCCGTCCACGGGAAGGGCCTCGCCCCCTTCCCCCTTCCCTTCCTGCCCCATCCACTACTGGCACCCTCCCGTTTTGATAGGGCTCATACAGTGAGAATGCTGACTGAGAATGCTCCATTCTCAATGGGAAAGGCTCATCCGACTTTGTCTTGGCTGCCAAAACAGTTATGCAAAGCTTGCAAACCAAATTACAGCCACTGACACACTACACTTGATGGCAACCGTTTGGCAGCTGAGTTTGATCATCAAAAGGCAGACAATAAAAGTCCACCACGAGAAGTCCAACTGCTGCTTGCCGTGTCATTCTTTCTGTGTGCCCAAGAAGCAGATCATCTGTCCTTCTTCCGCATAGCCACACCCATCAGTCAAGAGACGGGCGGGTAATTTGGGGGGTAGAGGAGCCTAATCAATGCACCAAGATGGGGTTTGGTGAATTGGAAGGCGGGGTCAGACTGATCTATGCAGCATTTATGTGCTGCTTCATAGATAGATCCTGCGACACATTTGAGGACGAGTCCTTGATTGCGCGTGGCAGCAGTGGTATGGAGAACTCACCCCCTGACCATATACGATTTTATCAGATGACATGCCCCACTGCAAAATGGGATGCACAGGATGGAATCGATGGATGCCTGCAATTGGTCACCTGACACAAGTTGACAGAGGGGCAGATTCCCAAGCATATGGAATAAATGCTGCTGCAGGTGGGCCATGGATTGCAATATCTACATCACTAGAGGTGATCGTTGTGAAAATAACGCACAGAACCCAGGACCCGAACATAGGAGTCAATCAAAGAATTCTGCATACCGTTTGTTAGCATATACAACCTCACAATCAAGAGTTAACGGATATCAGTGTGGTCAACTTTGGAGGCAATCATCTACCACCATAACCAACACATATGGAACAGCTAAGGGAGGCCGCTATCACCATACCCAACAAGTCTAGAAAACCTGAGACACTCAGATCTCAGTTGATGTCACTAGGGAGCAGAAGTTATAACTGATCACCCATAACGATAAATCTGGGAAAACGGGAGCAAATATCTCTGAGTTCCTGACAAGAGACCGTTTGCCCTGTCATGTCAGACTGGCATGCATATCCAGTCATCTTGGACTGACAGATTGTGGTGAGTGCAGCGCAACCCAGTAACCCAGCGTGGTACTGGGTTCATGTGTTGCATCATGGCAGGAAGAAACCCTTCCTTCAAACAAAACCACACTTAGTTGCACAGCTGGACTCCAAAGGGACGAAGGCATTGACAGGGAAAAGTGGAACATCTGATAATCAAAAGTCAATGAATGCAGATGTGAACCCTTGCATGACACATATATACAAAAATATATACATGCATGGACAGATGTATGGATGGGTGAATGAACGGACAGATGGCTAGATAGATCGAGAGGGAACAAATGCAGACTGGTATTCACATGGCAAGCAATTGTCAACGAATGGGAAGAAGAGCCCCATACAGTGTGGGCGAACTCACCCACTGAGCCGTTGCCTCTACTCTACCCTGTCACTTCCCTGTGAGGAAGTTCCCTTGTTGCAGACAGCTAGAAACGATATTATTGTCAAGACAGATGGCCACGTTTTCTACAAAAAGCAACCTGCCATCCATTTCCCCATTAACGACAACAAAAGTCAATCGCACGAATGCTGGCTGAAGATGTTCACCCCTCCTGCCTAGTGCTGGGATACCGAAAATGCTGCCGATTGCAAGAACATGCCGCGGGAGAAGACCATAACAAACTCACGAGGTATCATGTACTTCTGACCCCTTCGCTTGGCCTGTCAGTTGCATGACGGCTTTATCAGCACACCGGTTGTCTCCAGCATTAGGAGCTGTGGACCAGCAAAACCACATTCATTTCAACAAAGAGCAGTGTGAGCGACTGCACGCATAATATCGGCTGCAAGATTCTCTGTCCTAGCAAGATAATGACCTCTGAGGAATCTGACTTGCTCTCATTGAGCAGCTGGCTCCAATTGTGTGCTTGATTGTTTGTTGTCCAATACCTGTGTGATTAACAAAAAATGGTTTCCATCTGTCCCTCTTGAACCGCCAAGTACTCACTGTGCTCACAGAGCAAGCATTTCATAGGAGTTTGGGAAACAACAACAATAAAGAAACTTCACATGACAAGCACTGAGTGACTCAAGAATGTCCATTCATGTATGCCCAAAAATGCCGATTCATGTATGACCCGAATCCACACCATCAGCATCGCACAATATAACAGAGAGGTGGACCCAAGCACTCAAGGGGAACAAGTAAAGCAGTTGCACACATGAAAGAAATCTCATTGAGGTAAAGTAGCTGCACACATGAAAGAAATATCATCGAGGTATTCGAGGTCTACATGAGTATCCATCTACAGATCTCTCTCTCTCTCTCTCTCTCTCTCTCTCTCTCTCTCTCTCTCACACACACACACACACACACACACACACACACACACACACACACACA